GAGAGAGGGAGAGGGAGAGAGAGGGGGGAGGGAGAGAGAGAGGAGGAGGAAGAGGGAGAGAGATGGGGAGAGAGAGGCAGAGGGAGAGAGAGGGGGAGGGAAAGAGAGGTCAGAAGAGAGAGATGAAGAGAAAGGGAACCTGGCAGCAATAATACTGATTGTAAAACGTTCCATTTTCTACTTTTTAAGCAAGGTTTTACGGCGCTCGCAACTGCATAAGGTCATAATATGAGCGCGAAGGTGTGGAGGTCGACAGAGAAGTCCAAACGGGGAATCAGACTTACTCGGCTCACCTCTCTAGCCTCAACAGTACAAAGTCTGCTTCGACTATCAAGGCACCCCGGAAATATCAGTTCACAAGAGAGTGACAAACATACAAAAGAAGTAGGGGGAAATGGCGATAGTAAAGATGAGGAAAGAAAAAGCAGCAGCTCCCACTATGATGTTCCGACACAGTATGAGCATGACATTGATAGATCAGCCCATTTACAATTCTACTGTGCATAAGAAAATTTTAATATACCCCCCCCCCCTTTGGAATGGCCTAAAGACAACTTCAGTCAGTAGCACCGTTCGTTTGGAACCCGACTGTTAAAGCGAAGACATTCACCATACAAAAACTGTTTAATTTATCTTCTTTTTTTTCTTTTTTTATGTTTTCAGTGTGAATTTTGACTCATTGACGGCGGGCATTCTATAACGCTTGAAGTCGGGTTGTTTTCGGGCACTTATGAAGCATTGTGATGAAACCAAGTGCTTGTCAAAATTATGAATTAAAAAAAAAAACGGTAGGGGTTTTTTGGGTGGGTTTTTTACGGGGGGTAGAGGGGGGTGTCAAAGCAGAAAGGAGGAGAATTCGTGCAAAGCGCCTTCCTTTCCCAACAACACAACGTCGAGCCTCTCTGAAGGGATTCGAACCCGCACGACTTTACGGTTGCGAGTCCGAGAGCCTAAGTAACCACTAGGAGGTCATCGTCGCCACAAAACAAAACAAAACTAAACTAAAACAAAGCAAAACAAAAGCAAAACAAAACACACAAAAAAAAACCCACCCAGTTGTTGATGGGTGTGTCTTTGAGAGGGCCGCCGCCCTCCGCCCAGACGTAGTAAGATCTGAACTCGTTATGTCTGCCATCGGGGTTCGCCTGGCTACTGATGAACCAGGGGTGTTGGTCAGAGGTGTGGTTGGGGATAAAGTCTACGGTGATGTGCATGCCTGGGGAGACAGAGAGGGGAGTTAGGGAGAGGGGAGGGGGGGAGAGAGGGGA